TATGAGTCACCCTTCAATGCATTAGCTCTAAATGAGCCAGATGTGTTGAAATATTTAAGTCCTTAGTTAAACCCTGGGGATTTTAGAGATATTCTCCTATCTGTAATGCATGTGCGTATCTCGCTAAAGAGATACGGAGTTACGTGCACATGTTGAAGACACAAGAGTTTCTACAAAATGCCTTAAAATACAGTCAGGTTTTCATTCAATCTGTAAGTTTCCTTCCTGGATAATACATTAAAAAGAAAATGTAAAGTATTTAGGCTATTGTTTGAAATTAATCGTTAGGGTCTATAAAGGCATTTTCTCATTAGAAAGTTTATGGGTACACTGAGCTTTGGAACATATAAAAATGTGATACACTTAACTAAAAGTTCAGTTATTTCACTCAGTTTGAACCACAAGAATAAACCAACACAAGAAAAAACAAAACTTCTCAACAAATTCCCTCAGAGATTACAAAAATCAGTGCATCTCAAAACATTACTGATAATAAATGACAAACCTATGCTGCCTTCAAATGGTAGTGCTATCCAAGTCACCTACCCATAGCAACATTACTGCTCTTTGAGGACATAAATTAATGCAATATGTTTTCTACTCGTGCAGCACTATCCCATTTTGTGGTTACAGTATGATAATAAGCCGGAATTAGTTGAACAACAGGCATCACTTCATTCAGTTTCAAAGATGATTAATCTAACAAGACAGCAAAGTAAACTAGGTATAAGCAAATGCAGAGCAAAACCAAGGAAAGCAAAAGGCTTTTCTATGAATTGGATTATCAGTGCCACTATGAATTAAGATGTTGTTGCAGACAGTATTCTAACAAACTGGGCTTCTGCTTTTTCATCTTTCCATTTCAGTATGAAAGTACCTTCAGCATCAGCAGACATGACACTGTAAAGACAGTCAGCTGTTTCAATTTCAAATGCTTTAATACTGTGATTAATTGGGAACTATACGTATCACTTACTGTTTAACATCCCTTGAAATAATGACATTCTGGATTTGTTCAGATACATGTTCTCTGCACTCAGGGCCAAATAACCCGTTCACAGCCATCATTTTTTTTTTTTAATTCTAGATGCCAACTTAAGCCCTGTCTACTTACCACAGTAACTGCACCAAATAGACAGGCTATTCTGTGCCACCCCCACCCTCCCCGCCCCCCAAAAAATCCAACAACCCCAAAACCCTTAGTCAAACTATTATGGCGTCTATTGTATTCACACTTCTAAGAAAACATTCAAGATGTTGATGAAACAGCTTGCTATTTTCAAAATACAATCTCATTTCAAAATATGATATATTGGGTTTTCAGCTGGCTTTTCTAAAGACATTAGGCATTTCAGCAG